TGGAGTTCCCAGGTATAGCTCATCAGTCATATAATTTGAATATAATTGCAATAATGCTTAATATAAAAAATATGTAAAGATTATGATCTGGGATGTGACTCCATGCAGTTTGGTAGATATTCACCAACATCATGGAAGAGCCTCCTGCCTTCATATTAAGGATAACAGAAACTTCTGACCTGAGGTCGGACACAGCAGGTTCCTCCAATATATCTCTACCCATTTACCGTACCAGATGATGTCACATCCCTGAATATGGTACTTTTTGATACACACCACAAGGACAATCTCAAAATATTTTGCACTTTTTCAGTTAGTGGATATGTATTTATATATTTGTTTTAGCTTTCTTTAAAAACAAGTACTTATATTCATATGAAAATTTTATATGCTTATGTTTAAAGATATATGATTTTGTTTAGAGCTACATAAGCTCCATTTTTCTTAAGATATAACACATAAAGCAACGGCCTCTGTGGTCTGGTGGTCAGGGTTCCTGGCTATAGATCCAGAAATCTGGGTTCGATTCCCGGCACTACAAAATTTTCTGAAAAGTAGTGGGTCTTGATTGGGGTTCACTCGGCATCTTGCGGATAAATGAGGAGATATTTCAAAGAAATAGCAGCTCTGGTCTAGAAAACCGACATTAACGGCCGTGGGGATCTCTTGCGGTGACCACGCGACACACACTATTCCCTAAAGTTGGCACTAACTTCACCGACAAGCAGTGGTCGGTCAGCTGGTATAGTTCACTTGCAGACTGAAACCATGGAGTTTCTTTGTTTTAACATATAAAGCCTGATACTTTTCATGAATTTTATTTGAAGTAGGAATGCAAGTCTGTAAGTCAGAATTATCAGCAATGGTACAGTTCTTACTCAGGAGAAGAGCTGTGATCCAGCCAGATATAGGTGATATGTTACTGGTTTGAAGCGGGAAACATAGACTTTAGCAAACACATCCAACTACTACTTACATGTATACAACTGTGTATGGTTTTCTCACCACCTGTGGATGTGAGTACTACATGCCCCATCAATCTGATCATATTTGGAATTCTGGTCACGTGTTTTCAATATTCTTTTGCGATGCCAAATAATTGTTTCAAGCATGTATCAGCTGCAACATATTCATAATGGGAACAAACTTGACTTATCTTAACAGAATGGGTAAACACCTAACCCACAAAGAGTTTTTTTCTTACCTACAGTGTAAATACACTTATCACACACAAAGCTGTGTTGTTTAGAGTGTGTCAATAAATTAACCAAAAACCAAAAAAGCAGAAAATTGATTGAGACAGTCCCTTGTCATTTATCTGTTGCTTCATGCTACTACAAGTTCTTTGCAATCATAACTTAATAAGCATAGCTCAGCATTATCACACACTTGAGTCTCCACTTATGTTGAAATGATATCTAGAACACTTCCTGGGTTGTAAATGGTAATGACAACACAAGTTGAAACATATACTAATGATTTACATGTAGATTTTATTCCATTTTTCAGAACTTTGTCTAAATTGAAATATCTTAAGTAAAGATCTGAAGAACATGGTACCTGCAGTTGGTGTTAACCAGACAAACAGAGAATTTTTCTCACTTTTTCCGCTTCACATGAACACTAACCAACAAAACAGTCACTGGGGAAGTATTCAGCTGTTTAATTATAGCACTGAAGAACAAAATCACTCCTTCATATTAGGTAGACAGAGACAGAGACAGAGGAGTATAGGTAGAGAGGGAGAGGGAGGGGGAGGGGGAGATGGAGAAAAATTTGACAATAAGAAAATATCATATTGCATTAGAATTTACATTATTTCATTTTTAAACGTTTTTCTTCCATTTTTATATGTATAGAGTAAATTGGAGATGATCAGAGTTATTAAAAAGGTACAGGCATATTCAAATCCATCACATACTCAATTAACTGAGACATCGTTCAAAGGAATCGATTAAATGCCACCTTATTCCACTGCACAAAACCAACTTAAATTTCTTCATCTCAGTACATTTTAACAAGGTTCCCTGACCTTCAGCTCCTTATGATCAGACATGATTTATGTATTTCAGGTACAAATTGATCCAGCATACCAACCCCCAGAGCTCTTGCATGCTCTTGTCAAAGTAGAAGCCAAGGCTCTTATTTGTGCAGAGAAATATAAATCCAACAATTGCTATGATATGGTGCAAACATTAATCCCAGAATTAAATAAGAGTGCCGAGGGTGGAATTGAAATTACCAGCTCTAAACTTCCAGCTCTGAAGACACTCATTGTTATGAGTAATGCACAACACAGGTGAGCTCACTTAGGTACGATACGGGTTCACCCAACCTCCTATCCAATGGGTACTGGCGGCTCTTTCCCCAGGGGTAAAGCAGCCGGGTCATGAAGCTGACCACTCACCTCCCACTAGTGCCGGGGTCAAGTAAATGAAGATCTATACATCCACTCCCCCATACGCCTTCATGATGTAGTGCCTAATTATTTGAGCAGGAAAAAGTTTACCTTTTACCTAAGATACTGAGGAATATAATTTGTGTTGGCAACACTGAAAGCACTTCAGTTGGCAAGGCTGTGTGTTCTTGTGTTTGTTTACACTCTGTAGCGCTTGTGTCATTGGATTAGTGACTGTGTTAAGTGACAATATGGTTAGTCGCCGGCTTCCCATCATGATGGCCTCGGTTCGAGCCCGGGTCTGGCCAAGTGGGATTTGTGGTGGACAAAGTGGCGCTGGAGCAGGTTTTCTCTGAGCACTTCGGTTTCCCCTGCCAATCTTCATTCCACCAAATTCTCCATCATAATCACTCGGGGCAGGCTACAATAGACCAATCAGTGGCCACCGTGCCGAGTGGTCCCAGCTGGACTCCACCGCCCACTAAGTACAATACACAGTACTATCACGTTTTTATGCATGCAAAATTCAATTCTGGGCTTAAGCTTCAATCCCTCACATCTTTGTATTTTTTTTCTCTTGAATATCACCAAATCCTAATGATACCAACTATGACTGTTCAGCATAATGATTCTGGCCACAAAATGATTTTATCAATGCAAAATAATGAAAAAGCATCTGAAAGTGATGAGCAACAAAAGCTGAATTTGCAGAAGCAGACTAATATCCTAATAGATTACACCAATAACACCAAAAACTTGTGTAATAAGCAATTAAAATACTTAATTATGTTCCACTTCCTTTTTATGTATTTTTCTTGTTATGAGCCACCTCAATCAATGGTCTTTCCTAAGAGAAGAAGTTTCACACTCATACAAAGCAACAGGTAAAACTATTGTTTTGCATAATTCCATTCTGCTACCACACAAAAGAATATGTCTCAGTCCCTCTGTATCAGAGTTACTGGGATTCTGGACTTTGTCCATTGTCCAGGTATTCTAGAAACTAGAAAACAAAACGTTTTGGAAACTGTATCTGTTTCTGTCCTCAGGTGAGTGGGGGAACGCATCTACTTGGTTGGGTATCTTAATAATTCTGAATGTTGTACACCATCCTCAGAACCCTTTAGAATATACATTTTATGTCAGTTGAAAACATTATAGTTATTTAGAATAAGGGATGTCGACCACCTGTTGATTCCCAAGTTGGAGGACACCTCTTGACAACTGACCACAGTTACTTGTTCAATATGTTTAGCGCTATTCTTCACATACAACAGAATCTGTCTCATTACCAGTAATTCACATTTTACCTTAGTTGGTTTTAGTTTGTTACCTCTGTCCATAACCTTATGAAACACAAAGTTGCCATGGCAAAGGGCCAATAGAACAAGGTTTCTGACTTTCCGCTGACATACCACAATATAAACGGGTGGATTAAAGACTTAATATAACCTGTTTCAAGCCATAGATTATAAATCTCATTTAGTGACACTGAATTTGTCTGAATGTATCTGGCATAATTACAATCTATACTGCCATCTTGTGACATTTTCATGTACCATAGCTATTACATGGAAATGGTTTAAGACTATTTCTGTTTATTAGAGCTTTAATTTCTTGGACTCAGCAGTATATTTTCCTTTTTCATCTTAATAATGATCCACATATTCCCAGTGTTATTTCTGATTAACAGAGGTGCTTATCGGCTCAAGGACATTATCTTATCTGCAAGTGAAGAGTACATCCAGGAAGTAAATCAGCTGCAGACACTCATACAGCCGGACGATGGATGTACTGTTCAGTTCTCATCTGTAAGAATGCTTGAACAATACCTAAATACATATATAATATCAATATTCTTTCTTTCTAAGAGGAAAAGAAGTATTGAATGTACAGTCTTTCTAAAGAACAGACTCTATTATGTAGAAACAAGTATTATGACAAAATTTGTCCAGCTCAGGGAGTGAAGAGTAAAAGCTATTCCAAATTTACCTCTTATACAGAGGAAGTTTTCACAGCAAGTATAAACTGCAACAAGATTTCAACTTAGAATAGTCTGACTAAATGTATTTATATGTACAAGAATATAATTTTGTTATGCACTGAAAATGGTCATTGCTCAGTAGTAGCATAGACATGTGTATAACACAAAATTGTCATAACTCCTCAGCCATTCAGCCTTTGGCATAGTCACAATACTGACGGCCATCCTGGCACCAGTATGGTCTAGTATCTTTCTAATAATAACGTAACAATATAAGTTAATGTCTGATGGTGATACAACCTCAGAGATGAATGAATGAATGTATGAGGTGTAGGTGTTCTCGGCCCTTGCACCGTGACCTACAGTGGTCTATTGTGCTTCTCCTTTTGATTATCCCCTCAGCAATCCTGCGCTTTGAATGAAGCACAGGATTTTGTACGTGGGGGCATCAAAATAGTCACTTGGTTCCATAACGTATTGACCCAAGTGACGTAGTCTTAAATAAGCTAAGGCCTCACATTTACACAATATATGTGTGGCTGTTTCATTTTCTTCTTGACATCTCTCACAAGCAGGACTATCACTTAGTAACCTCAGAGATAGTTCAGACACAGTTTAATGAACATATTTTAAAATATTTTTATTGTGATTGTACCAAAAATACTAAACAATATGCATTAAGCAATATTCCTGTCTAGATGACACCTGTCAGAAAGGGACAAATATTATGAATTCAAGTATGCCTTCCATTGATGCTGTCTACTGCTTCATAACTTCTTGTTAACATACATAATGAAATAATAGCAAGGTTTATTATTTCACATCTAAGAAATTTACTAATGGGTGCCATAAAATGTTAGTTTTAAGGCGTGTCCACATTACTCATGCTTGTGCGTCAGAAGCTTACTGCTGCCGGAAAATCAGGATCTGGAGCTGATGAAGTGGACATCCAAACTGGTTTGCATACAAAGCCTTCGCATTTCTTCACAACAGATATCAGCTTCAGACCCTGATTTTCCAGCAGCAGTAAGCTTCTGATGCATGAGCACGAGTAATGTGGACACACCTTTATACATACAGTAAACCTTCGATATAATGGATTAATAGGGGAGATAGGATATCCATTATTGCTGATATCTGCTATAACCAAGTGAAGAGGTATTCACAGAAGTGCACCATAGGATACATAGCCAACACGCAATAAACATAGAAAAAATGTGATTAAATAACAGTTTTTGTGTTGAGGCTCTTTTCTATTTTAGAGAGTCTTCTAACTAGAAAATCAGCTTAGTGCCTCAACATCTCTAAAAATTCACATTTGTACACAGATTTTGTCCATTATATCTGGGTCTGTCATAATGAGGGTTTGTTGTGTATAATTATCTCTTTCGGTTCAACTTTAAGTAAAAAAATATTATTTGTTTGTTTTAATAAAGGGCACAACTGGAAGTCCTAAAGCAGCCCTCTTAAGCCACCATGCCTTGGTCAATAATGGCTACTTCATCAAAACACTCATAAACAAAGACAGAAAGGTATGTCTTTTCAGAATACAAAGTAATCTCACTCCATGGAACAGATCCTTTCCTGTGAAGATAATAGGTATTCAGATGTCTGCCCGATCTAAACTCTCCTTTTGCTGTGGACTACAAAAAGAAAAAGCTATGTGAAATGCTTAAACAAATTTTGTTGGTTTTCATTAATAAGGATCATTGGGTTCCACATAAGGCAGGGAATTGTTTGACTGTCTTCTCAAGAATGATTTTACTCCATTGGATTGGTTAATTAGTTATATTTTAACTATTAAATTGGCAATAAAATTAAGATTTTAAAGTCAGGGTTCTTTTACATGGTCTGTATTCATTACAGAGTCTTCTGGGTATCACACTGTGTTAAAATAATAAATAATTTAATATTCAATGGAACTTGCTGCTTTAATCAGGGTTTAAGTGATTTACCATTCAATGACTGAAGTCTTGTAAATCATGTTCATCTGTAATGTCAATTTTTATTATTTTGACATACTGCGATACTCGGAAATTTAACAAACTAATTACTCTGTAATGATCCAGGTACTAGCTCAGAGGCATGAAGTCCCCAACATAAAGACTAAGGATGTAATATTGTGTTCCTAGTCATACAAAATCTACAATTAAATAAATATTTATTTTCCCATTTTTGCACCACACATTTTCACACAATATGAAAACTCTGTTGCAAATATTTTCCTTCGAAATTAAATAGTTGCACCCTTAACCGCACCATCTGTTGATGACCAAGAAGTTATTGATGAACCCAAGATCAAGCAGGTTAGTCAAGCAGTAAAATATAGATTAGTATCTGGAGGCATTCACTTCTAATCTCAGTTGGGGCACCAGTTATCAGCACTGAGATTTATCATGGTTTCCTCAGTCCCTCCAGGCAAATGTTGTGGTAGTACCTAGATTACTCTATAACTGCTTTGTTTCAAATTCTTTTTGAACTCATCTTTCATTACTCACCTTCTATTCAATGCTATGTAGTTTAGATACTATGAACATCTAAAATAAACCTATGAACCCAAGGCCATGAAAATCTCTCCATCTTCATCATTATTTTCCACCTATCAAACTACTGCTATAGTACATATTTGTGTTATTATTGTATAAAATATGTTTTAAGCCCCTCATATTTTAACAGTTAAGTGTATTTCATAGGGTTTCAAGTATGTCTTTCATAGCACATTAATATTAACTCCTAGTTTCCCATATAACTTAATATTGCTAGTAATTATTTCCATCCATGTGTTATATCAGGATTGTAGTTTTTGCTGCAGTTAAGGGTTGTTGCATGAGAGGCAGTAAAAGAAAGTTTACAAGTCATGTCTCTTGAATAGATTCACATCATCATTGTAGAAAGTGTAAACTTTATTCTGCAGAGTCCCCATATAGACTGAAACTCATTTATACCATGGGATGAGTTTCCCTGTCCCCTGTCTGTAGAATTTATAGTTGTGGTCTTTCGGCCCTGATTTCAGAGGGGTTTCCACTTTAACAATTTTGACCTATTAGAAATTGCTTCATCTGCTTCTAGAATTAATATCACATAATGGAGGCCACAGCTGTAAAAAAAAGTCTATCAATAGTCACTTAAGATCTGTGCAATGATAAATTTTTGTCATTTGTAAATGAATCTTTATTTTGCAGGGAGTAAAAGTGTGCGTTTTGACACAGTTCTGTCACTCTTCAGGCAGCTTTCATGGCATTATTTGTAACCTACTTTTTGGCTACACTGTTGTTTTGCCTGCACCTACATTTGATGCTAAGAAAACTTTGGAAGCCATTACACAAGAGAGGTAAGATTAGTGTGAGAATTCATGACAAATCTTACAAAAATATATTAATTGTTTAATTAAACGCTGTTTATTGAACAAGATATAGGTGTTCTTAATCAGGAATTTTCTCTTAAAACTGAAATGCATTTCACAGCCAGTATACCTACTTGTAAACTTGTCAGAAGTTGCACAGTAACAAACAGTAACTAGTATCCGTTCTAAGTGAGATTTTCATGTAATTAACAAGAGTGATCTTGAGGGAGAATTTAAGAGATAACTTACATAGCACTGCAAATAGTGAACAAACGTACCAAAAATGTGTGCACAGAATTTTCTGCAAAGCAGGTAAACGATACAACCAGGAAAGAAGAGAAAGTTCATGAATAGCAGTAACTCTATTTGAGAAATAAAATTGTTAGTATGCAGATATGAAAAACATTTTTAACCAAAATATATTAACAAGTTTAATGTTAAATGTAATGCTGTTCTTAGTTTAGTAATATAATTTTAAAACAGTTTCATTTCTGCATATGATGAATTTTCAAAATACAGTGAAACCTCAATTTAAGATTTCTCTGGGGACTAGTGGAGTTGAACCCTAAACTGAGGACAATATTAAATGGAGGTAACTTATACTGAAATTATTGACCTGGGTTCATTGAAATTGAACATTAAATAAGCAAACACCTTAAATAAAAAAATATTGAATGGGGTGGTGGCGTGCTATATTATTCATAAATTTTTAGGTGTTCATGGTAGTGTTTGCTAGGAGTCTTGTAGGTGGATACTGACATTTCAGAAGAACATGCTGCCTCTGTTTTCAGGGTTGAAGCATGTAGTTTCAGTAATTGCATTGTTCATATAGGTATGTTGCAAAGATAGTGGATCTAGGCTTCCTTCCCTTAGTCCCACTCTTGGGTCTCATGGTGCATATGATTATGCAACCTGTACATGCGACTAAGGCAGTTACTGCACCAACATGCTTCAACCCTGAAGATGGAGGCAGGATGTTCCTCAAAAATATCAGTGTTGCAACCCAGAAGACCACACCCTGAATTATCATCACAGATCTTTTCAGAACTTGATATAATTTCAGGTGCACAGACTTGTTTGGAACCCCATCAATGTATGTGGACTTAATCAACACTTCACAAGACCTGAACCTTAAGGTCACAACACTTCAGGTGGCAGGATGTGGTGGTGCACCATGTAGCCAGCAGTTGGCCTTGCAGATAAAGCAGACATTAAATGTCAGGCACTTGCGTGTAAGTTCTTGAAAGCACAAAACTAAATTTAAAAGAAAGAAATATATTTAAACATGTAAAATGAACTGAAAACCATGCAGATGACATGGAATGATGAAGATTACTATCTTCTGCGAAGTGATGCCATGTAGACTCGTAGAAGTTCTGTTGCCAACCTACACAGCATCACATTCCAGATAATTGCAATCTAAGTACTACTGTGTGTATCTCATATCTTATAATTAATATATATTGGGAGTGACAGTATCTGGCATAGAAATAACATAATGATACATAAGACATTTTTAAGTAATCTAGAAATGTCATTGCCTAGCAAGTTCTATCATAGGATTAGCCTTCTTTTTTAATGTTTCAGCAAGGTTATGGAATGACAGAAGTGTCAGGAGTTTTTTTTTCAACACTTAATGATACCTTGGAGCAGGTCACAACTACAGTTGGCTGCCTTGTGGATCATTGTGAGGTAAGGTCCATTTTAAACAGCAAGAAGATCTGGGAGCAACTTACATATGTATTCCTTTAAAAATATTTCATGAAATAATGAATTACAGTAAAACCTACCCACACTGGAAACCAGAGGGGACTGAACATTTGGTTTAGACAGGTCCTCAACTCTGTAAGTGTGCATGACAATATGCATTATGGCATCATTGTATGTAATATTCATATCTGTTTTCAGTTTCCTAGGCAATATATGCAGTAGCTATAGCTGATTGAGTTATGTGCATATATGATGACAGAATTTTTTAATACACTTTCCACCCTTATTCCCAATTGTTTCTCTTTTAATTACATGAATATATAACAGTTTCCTTATGTAAGTGTTGGTCCTTCTTTGTTGTTGTATATTGTGATATTGACAAGAAAATCAACCATATCCAAGGTTAGGAACTGACACTTCTCCTTGTTTAATATATTTATTTACTTGCTTATCCCTTCTCTTGACTTTCATTCTTCCTTTCTTACTTCCACAAATGTGCATATGCCCAGAAAAGTAACATCACTTTATACTTTGAAGATACCAGACTTGAATTCTGGCATAGACTGAGGATTTTCTGAGTTAGATTCTTAATAGATTGTGTTTTACCCACAGATTGTACCTTAAAATATGCTACAATCACTTCATTTAATACGTAGTCTCAGTTCATTGTTCAAAAATTCATGACACTCAATGTAACATAATTATGAGTTTGACAAAGCGAGGAATGAACACTGTACCATGAAATGATAAAAGCAATGATTTGTAGGTTGGTATTATGCATTCCTTGCACAAGTCGGTTTACAAAAAAAATTACTGTTTTTATAAGGCAGTAAGCACTGATATGCATACTGACAAACTGTTGTGTACCAGCAAACTTGTCAAAATTCATGCATATTCCTGTGTTGTATATTTCAACCTTGAGGCCAAAATTAAGTATGAGTGCACCAGAAAATAGGCTTAAAAACATGCAACAAATTAACATAAAATGAAGAGCTTGTTTCTATTTAACTACCTGTCTGTACACTCCATCTCACAAACTGCTGCATGTAGATGGAGTTTGATATGAATCACTTATATTAAAGGGGTTTACAATATAATGCCTAGTTTACATGAATCTCGTGTTGAACTTTATGATTCTATTCTGACATGACATACAATATAACAAATTTGTACACAGTAATAAATATATCTCATTAAGTTCTAAAAGTTTCATTAAAAAAAATATATTTAAAATGAAACCTTTAGAACTTAATGAGACATGTAGAATATATTTACTTCAATAAAAGAAATATTTTATGACTAGTATTGTAGTTTTGTATGACAGTATCTGTATAAATGAACATCAATATCAGTGATATATATATAAATTAAACAAAAGATTTTAAAAAACATGTGTCCTTCAAACATTTCATTCAGGTTATGAAATGTTCTGAATATGGAAATGAAGTGAAAAATCTGAACATTCTAATGGACCTGTGCATGAGCTATCAATTTACTGATCAGCTGTTGTGGTTACAAGCAGCTTATGTATTGAACCATGAGGCCAGGAGAACAAAAATGTTACCTCAGCCATTATTTTGATTTGCCACAGGCGTGGACACAGTAAATTGTATTGACTATATGCTGCTGTAGTAAAACTTGATCCTAAACTGCCATCACCAAAACTTGCCACTGCACAGCATCCCGAGCCAGTGAAATTCATCTTTGTAAACTATTTCCCCAGGTTCATGTATTTTAATACTATCTTTGTCTTCTTTGAAATCAAACTGACTACTTTCCAATGAAAATTTCTAAATAAAATACTCTATGTATCTTCTCTTTCTCTATCTAAATAATAAGTCCATTGCATTGTCATGTTCACAATATTTTACCCTGCCAATAATATGTGACCTGCATAAATCAGTGAGTATCTTATTATGTAATATCATCCATTTGCGATTTATTTCAACTCTTGTACCTGTCCTGTTGTTAGTTTACGTTTTCCTGTGTTCAGAATAAGCATCAGATGCGCTCCCACAAGAAACACCCTAAATATTCATGTTTGAAATAACAGGTAAAAGTGGTGGACAGAGAAGGACGCATGGTTCCTATGGGGACCCCTGGAGAGCTCTGGGTGCGAGGCTACAATGTCATGTTGGGATATTTCAATGATGAAGAAAAGACTCGGGAATTCATTCGTCCAGATGGATGGGCAAAAACTGGGTGAGAATCTATACATTATCAGTTGATTTCTATTTATTCTATGGCCTATCTGACATTTAGAAAAGGCTATAACTTAAATGCTTTTGTTCCCAGTAGATTATCCTGTACAAATTAAATTTTCTTTAATTGTTTTCTTATAATAAGCTGTAAAGTAATTATTATCTGCTGTGTGATTAAAATGAAAGTTATTCATGGTTTGTCTAGAGGAAAATTTTTAAATTTTGCCATGGTATAACTCTTCTACCTTGTTTATAATAATTTCCCTCTCAATAAGTGTAAAATACTTTGAAAGATTGTCCTTTATAATTCTTGACTACTTGCACAAACAATCTAAAAATATGTAACTGTTAGCTTTCAGCTTGCTTCCATGTCTGTTTATATGTATCAACTCAAGAGCTGGTGAACAGTTTTTCATGAAATCTGATATTGCAGAGTTTTACTACCATTTGTTTGCACACTTTAGTTTTAGTTGAAATTATATAAAAATAATGGGCACTTTGTGCAAAGAACCACACATGTGAATTTCAAATAGAACTTGTGCATAACACACTATATATATGTTGGAGTGAGGAATGGTTTAAATGCAAGTTTCTCAGAAAAACATATAACACTGTTGATATCCAGCACACTATTTTCCTTAAGATATTTTTCACCATATTCAAAAAAAGGTTTTTTATTGTCATCTGTCAACTGTAAAACAATTTGAATGCTTTTGCCACTGTTGTTCTATGGCTGGCCCAAATTTTAATTGGTAATCATATTAGAATAAAAAAAAAATATGTTTAGCCACCGGCTCTATTCTCATGTGACCCACACTTAGTGATGTTATTTAGCCTTTTAACACGGTGGGTACTAGATGCACCACCTGTTTTAACATTAAAGACTGCTGAATTTTGCACACAGTATGGTTATGTCTTTCATATGAGTCTCAGAGTAAACAGAGATTCTAATCCAGAAGCAGCTAACCTAATTGAGGGTTTCTGTAGATTTACTCAGTTCCTGGACATAAATTCCAAGAAAGTACAATTGCTTAAAAGGAGGCAAAACCACTCCCTTTCATGGCAATCCAAATGATTCATCTTCTTTCATTCTATCATACCTCATTAAATACGATATAATCCATAAAACACATATTGAAGGCTAACACATGCTGTTCTGTCGTTATGTATGTTAGCAGTCATCAGAGTTTATAGTATTTACAAACAGAAGTAGATGATGGAACTGGTAGTCAGCAGTTGAAAGTATCCTTGCATCAGTACTGCAGTGTCCATCACAATTTCCAAAGAATATTCCTAGCCTATATCTGGATAGTAACATCAGTTGTACGCTGTTATTTTCTGAAATTCACTATCTTAATGTACAAGTATCTATGCCTTCAGACTTTTTCAGACTACTGAAGTTATATGTTTTTGACACAGTGTGTACCTACAAGGAAACAAGTTACATGTGCAGGGAAATGTTTTCATCTGAAGGTGTAGTGACTTTTCAGTAGGTTTCATTCTAACCATGAAGCAATCAAATAATTAAAACCAAAACTAATTTTGTACCACAGGGACCAGTTTGTGCTGCAGGAAGATGGTTATGCGAGAATTGTAGGTCGAATGAAGGATGTGATCATTAGGATTGGACTCAAAATCTTCCCATCTGAGATTGAAGAGTTCTTTGAGACACATCCTGACATTATGGAAGCTCAGGTACAGTCATGCACAGAGCCGTTCATTAACATGCTGCAATGTACAGACTTCCTGCGGTAGCTGGTAAGTTATTCGACTGGTGAAAGCGCTCCATGTTGTGGAAACCGAAAACTCATCCTTGTGTTCACTAAAACCCACCATTGGAACCTCAGTGGAATACAGATAAATGCCATGTGAAATGTTTGTTTGTTTCTTTTTTAATTCACAGTTTGCCTTTAGATTTCCCAGCTGTCCAGTTAATAACCTAGTCACTATATGAATTTAGCTATCTCAGCTTTCTTACAGAGTGCTGTAACACTGATATATTTATATTTTAAGAAGTTTCATGTGAAAAAGAAAGAATTATAAGACATTACTGTCTTCTACACAAAGTAAATTGAAGATATAATACAACAACAGAATACATGTGCCTGTAAAAGCTATTGCATTGATACCTACATCCTGATTGTAGAATAAGTATTGGCACATAACATACAACTCTCATTTTTGATCACTGACTGTGAATGTGTCTACAAATTTGATTTCATATATTCCTGTTTAGGTATTTGGAGTGCCAGACCCAAAAGTTGGAGAAGAAATCTGTGTCTATCTCAGACTTCGTGAGGGAGTCACCATTACTGAACAAGATGTCGTTGATTTTTGTAAGGATAAGGTAAGCGTTCATGTGAGATTAATGTCATGTTTACTATATACAAGTATACATTTTTCCAAAATGTCGTCTGTAATGCCCTAGCGGCGTAGGGGGGCATTGAGGTAGCCCTCCCGCTTCTGCCGCCGCTGTAATGCCGTGGTACAGGGGGGCGTGGAGTCAGCCCGCCTCTGTCACCACTGTAACTCCGCATGTAGGGGCCGTGGAGGTATCCTTCCTCGCCTCCACAAGTATGTCGTAAACTGGTACTCCTGGTAACGTCGCGCCGTCGGGGGTGTGCAGGTACCCCTCCTGGCCACCTCCGCTTATGCTGTAAGGCGTGAACGCAATCATCCTAGCTTACCGTTAGCTAGGATTCTCCTATCTCGGAGTTTCCTTCTGTCATACAAGCTGCCACCATCTATGTTCTGTTCTTTCAATTGTTGGTACTACTCCCTGACAAATAGTCTTAGCTCCTTCTTGACCACTCCGCATATGGTTTACAGGTAGCCGCGTAATCCATTAATATTATACTTTATCTTCGGATCTTGGGAGGGCGTTACTATCAAGGCTCCCTTACTCTGCCTGTGTGGCAGGAGCCTATCCCTGCCTATTCTTATCTTCATCTTCGGCTGCCACTGCGGCCTGTGTCAGTTCTGCCCTCGCTCGTCTGGATTACTCGGGATCGGGTGTGGGAGGTGGAATATATATATGAATTACACTCCCGGTACATCCTATCCTATCCTAGCCGTCTATTTACATTAATACATATATACACAATTTACATTATNAAAATAGCAAGGAAATTAGCAAAAGAACTGCATGATTATCTAAAATTACCAAACACATACAATGTCCAAAACTCCTCCCACTTAATGACAGATTTACAAACCATTAAACTTAATGAGAATATGCGACTATGTTCCTTTGACATTGAAAACATTACAAATGTACCAAAAACAAATACCACAAACATAATAAACACTATATTAGAGGAAAACAATGACATAGATAAAAACAGTATTGGAACAAAATTGTTTTCAAATTGATCAAGATTACTACAAACAAACAGATGGTCTAGCTATGGGAGCCCCAACATCAGCAATAATAGCAGAAACATATATACAATATATGGAACACACACAAATATTTCCCATTCTAGTAAAACAACAAATAGTGGCTTACT